CTTAGAACCGACCACTCTTCTGATATGAAATCTCTACCTTTGGACCACTTTTATCCAATTTCCCCACCCTCTTCTCCAGCCTGTGGTAACCACAAATATGATATTTTTTTCTCTTCTGATATTTTTTTCAGAATAAAGTAGTTTTGCCTATTCTAGAGTATCGCATATCTAGAGTCTTACAGTGTGTACTTTTGTACTGTTTTGTGTTAAGGATTTTTTTCTTTCACTCGGTGTAGTGTTTTTGAGATTCATCCATGTTATTGGGTGTATCAGTAGGTCATCTGTTCTTGTTTCTGGGTAGTATTTCATTGTGTTCGTAGACCACAGTTTGTTTAGCCATTTTCCTATTGATGAGTACATGGGCTATTTCAAATATACCACAGAGAAGTAGTAACTGTAGTCATCATGTTGTAGATTACATTCTCATGACTTATTATCTGATAATCGGAAATCTCTACCTTTGGACCACTTTTATCCAATTCCCCCACCCTCTTCTGCAGCCTCTGGTAACTACAAATATGATATTTTTCCTCTTTGAGATTTATTTATTTATTTATTTATATATAGATTCCACATATAAGTGAGATGATATAGTATTTGTGTTTTTCTGACTTATTTCACTTAGCATAATGCCCTTGAGGTCCATCGATGTTGTCACAAATGGCAGTTTTCTTCTTTTTTATGGCTGAGTAGCATTTTATTGTGTCTACCTAGATGCATCTTCTTTATCCATTCATTTGTTGACAAACTCTTAAGCTGTTTCCATGTCTTGGCTATTGTGAATACTACTGCGGTGAACACGGGGGTGCATTGCTCTTTTTGAGTTAATGTTTTCATTTTCTTCTGATAAATACCCAGAGTAGAATAGCTGGGTCGTAAGTAGCTCTACTTTTAATTTTTGAGGAGCCTCCCTTCTGTTTTCCTTAGTGGCTGCACCAACGTGCAGTCCCACCAACAGTGCACAAGGGTTCTCTTTTCTCCACATCCTCGCCAACACTTGATTGTTGCTTTATTGATGATAGCCATTCTTACAAGTGTGAGGTGGTATCTCATTGTGGTTTTGATTTGTATTTCCCTAATGATTAGTGATGTTGAACACCTTTACATGTACCTTTTGGCCATGTGAATATCTCCTTTGGAAAATGTCTATTCAGTTCCTTTGCCCATTATTTTAAAACTAGAGGCCCGGTGCATGAAATTCATGCATGGATAGGGTCCCCAGGACTGGCCGGCAATCAGGGCGATCAGGTTCCCCGTCTCCCGGTCTCCCTACCTCCTCCTTCCTTTGCTCCCTCAATGCCCCATGGTCACTGGTCGCCTGCCATGTTCCACACCACCCCCTGGTGGTCAGTGCACGTCATAACAAGCTATTGAACTCTTGGTCTCCTGGTCGAACTCCAGAGGGGACAATTTCCATATTTGCCTTTTATTTCTTATAGGATGGGTTTTGTTTTGTTGTTTTTTGTTTGTTTTGCTATTGAGTTATATGAATTTATATATTTTGGATATTAACCCTTGCCAGATACATCATTTGCAAATAATTTCTCCCCTCCATTTGGTTACCTTTTCTTTTTGTTGATGGTTTTCTTTGCTGTGCAGAAGCTTTTTAGTTTGCTGTAATCCTACTTGCTTATTTGTTATTCTGTTGCTGGTGTTATATCCAAAAAATCATTGTGAAGACCCATGAGAGGAGCTTTTATCCAGGCCAATTTTTTTAAAACCTGTGTATTATGTGGGCTACATTCAGGAGAAATACATTTTCTGGACCTTATTTGTTGCATTTTACTAGTTTTGTTATAATTTTATTTGAAATCTCTAAACAAAAAACTAAGTTCTTATTCTTTGCTGTTATGTAACCATAAAAGCAATGCACACAAATTAAGTATACACACAAAACTTTGAAAACGATTAAATGCAAGTTAATTACATTAGCTTAATATAAGGGATGATATTGTTTGCTGAAGCTAGATTGGTGCTTACGCTCAGTAGGTGGTACCCTGTTTCAGCATGAATTCTTTTGGGTTGGCAGGCTTATCTAACTGGGCGCCATGCGACGACTTAATTCATCTGCCATTTTTCTCCATTTAAATGCACATGAACTGCTTATTCATGTCACTGGCTACATCATTTAAGTGTTAACTTCACCTCTGTGCCTCTATTCTTTTCTTTCCATAGAGTGTACACAGTATAAGTTGCGTGCAGCAAATTGTGTACCAACATCCAGCCTTATAGGCCTAATCTAGATTATGTATGGTTTGTTTATATTAATTTATTTTAGGTTATAATAAAAATGCATAATTTAGAAATCTAGCAAACTGTAGACCTTGAAGAATATATACTCAGCTGGTGTGGCTCAGTGGATGAGCGTTGACTTATGAACCAGGAGGTCACGGTTCAAGTCCTGGTCAGAGCACATGCCCAGGTTGCAGGCTTGGTCCCCAGTGGGGGGCGTGCAGGAAGCAGCTGATCAATGATTCTCTCATCATTGACGTTTCTACCTCTCCTTCCCTCCCCCTTCCTCTCTGAAATGAATAAAAACATATTCTTAAAAAAAAAAGGAATAGAAATCACTGTTGCTCATGGTCCCAACAGCACAGCATGAGAAGTCTCAAAAGAGGACAGACACGGCTAGAAGTGACACCAAGGCCCAGAGGTCCTAGTGATCTTGTCAGGGCCCCTGGTGAACATTTCAGTCCTGAGTGTGAAAACAGAGGATCCAGGGAGAGGCTGGTTCGGGAAGGTCACGACGGAGAACGTGCACCAGGTGTGCTTGTTAAACCATCAAGGGACGCCCACACCGCTGCTGGCTTCCTGCGTGGCTCGGCTCACCTGGAAGGGGCTGAATGTCCTGCTTACTGCCTCCCACAGTCAGTGGTTGGCATCGGATGTCACGGGCGGAGACAGGAACCTGGAGCGTAGTAAAGTACTACCCGTGGTGCCAGGGTACACCTCTGTTTTCAGGTTTTTGCATTTCGGGTTTTCTTAAAGCAAGTCACATTGTCAGTACAACGGGGAGACGAGTGTTGCGCTTGCTGTGTGTGTGTCCTTTACTTATTCCCTTACTTAGATCCTTTTTTCATTGCAGTGAGTACATTTAACATGAGATATTCTCTCTTCACAGGTTTTTAAGTGTACAATATCGGATTGTTAAGTATAGGAACGATGTCATGAAGCCGATCCTCAGGTCTTGCATAACTGAGATTTTATACCTTTTCAATAGTAACTCCCCATTTCCCCTCCCCCACCCCAGCCTCTGGCAACTACCGTTCTGTCCGCTGCTTCTGTGAGCGTCCGTGTTTCAGATACCTCATGCGCGTGGAATCACACTGTGCTTGTTCTTCTGTGGCTGGTTTATTTCACTTAGCGTGACGTCCTCAAGGCTCGCTTCCGGTATCGTGTATAGCAGGATTTCCTTCTTTTTTAAGGCCGCTTAGAATTCCACGTCCTCTTCAGATGTACACTAGATGCAGGGCTCCATCTTAGTCCCAACCCTCCTGGACCCCTTCTCCTCTGTTGCCAATTCTCTTGTAATTTCCCAGATATCTTCATGGTCCCTGTTGACTGGATCATAAAGGGAATGAAAGAAGGTTCCGGAATGCAAGGAAGGGCTGAGGCCTGAGCAGGAACTGGGGGGGGGGGGGGGGGGGGGAGATCAAATCCCACAATTGTGTGGTGCTTTGCTGTCCCCCTGCTGTTTCCTGGGGGCTGCTATTACACCTTAGTATCGATTTTCCATGGACCACCTTATAATTAGGCACTGGAATGTTTCCCACCACTTCCTCTCCCCATGGAAACCCCTGTATCATGGTGACTGAGCTTAATTTCCCTTGTCCACTCATCTTTTATTAAAAAAAATATTTTTATTGATAGAAACATCAGGGATGAGACAGAATCTTTGATTGGCTGCCTCTGGCACGCCCCCTACTGGGTATTGAGCCTGCAAAACCCGGGCATGTGCCCTGACTGGGACTCGAATGGTGACCTCCTGGTTCATAGGTTGATGCTCAACCACCGAGCCACACCAGCTGGGCTGTCCACTCATCTTCGAACTTTACCCAGTGGGCATGGCCCTGTCAGCCCACCAGCCATCACGCAGGTGGGCCCTGCCTCTACCAGGCTCTCTCTGCAGGCCACACGGCAGGCAGCCCAGCAGTGGGCAGCCCTGGTGCCTGAGAGCAGAGGGCTTGGGAAGAAGGCAGCATTCATTTTGTGAGACTCCAAAGGCCTGTGGTTTGTAAGCCTGTTGGAAATCCCATCCAACATACCAGCCAGGTTTTCCTAAATCTGCAGCCTCAGTGCTCGAGGAGCCCGCTTGAGGAGTTCTGTAGGTGGTAATTGAGGTTTGTACGTTTTTAGGTAATTTATTCTGGTTTTCTTCCCATGGCCTGTGAGCTAGAACTTAAATACAGCTTCTCTGTAGTGGTGTTCCTTCCTGTTTAGTGAGCCTAGCATAATATTTTGTCTTCTGGGCTCAAATAACCACGTAATTACTCGGTAATCATATAGTAATTAGCATGTACTATATGCATTTATTACATAATTATGTTCCTGGGGGATTGCATGGCAATTATACTTAGATTCAGCATATCATTTTATATACTGTGTAATGAACAAGTGTATAATTTGCTGCTTTTCCCTTTTATCCTGATTTCGGTTTACCAACCAGGAGTTGGAAACTTCTCCTCCTCTTGCCTTGTTTACTGTAATTGGGCAGGTGCGCCAGCTCCTCCGGCCTCTCTCAATGCCTCCTGATTACACGGCGAAGAGAGTGCTGGGAGCTGGCGGTCCGCGGTGGGCTCCCAGCGTCCGCACGCTTCATATCTGCTCCTGGTCCCGAACTCTTTAAGTTGTTAGCTTCCCAACACAGAGCCGATCAGAGAGCTCCACGCACCGCCAGGTAAAGGCAAGGTCTCCCTGAAAACCCAGGAAGTGCTTTAATGAAAGCGGAGCAGCCAGGCTCCCCGCACGGTGCTCACGCCCGCCTTTCTCTCCCTTCGCAGTGGAGCACATCCCCAAAGGGAACAACTGCCTGGACGCCGCCAAGGCCTGCAACCTGGACGACACCTGCAAGAAGTACAGGTCCGCCTACATCACCCCGTGCACCACCAGCATGTCCAATGAGGTCTGCAACCGGCGCAAGTGCCACAAGGCCCTGAGGCAGTTCTTCGACAAGGTGCCGGCCAAGCACAGCTACGGGATGCTCTTCTGCTCCTGCAGGGACATCGCCTGCACCGAGCGGCGGCGGCAGACCATCGTGCCCGTGTGCTCCTACGAGGAGAGGGAGAAGCCCAACTGTTTGAACCTGCAGGACTCCTGCAAGACAAATTACATCTGCAGGTAGGTGGCGGGGCGGCCGGCCGGGAGATGAATGAGGTGGCGGGGAGGACCACTGCGGCTGTGGCTGTGGCTATGGCCAAGCTTGAGTGAGGGGAGGGCAGGGCAGGCATTGGAGAGATTGGCCAGAAACTGACCGACCCTGTGTCTGACACATGGTCCTTCAAAAGCCGGTCAGGTGATTGCTGTGCTGGGAAGGTTCCCAGTTTACCCTGGGGGAGCTTCGGGAATGAGGCAAATACCACTGTGCTTAGCAAACAGGGAGGGGCCCCGAGCCAGGTGAGCCTGAAGGCACATGCCCACTCCACAGCCCTGAGACTCTGCCAGGAGTCCCCAGGGGTTAAGTAAGTCAGGGGAGGGGTGGGCTGGAGATAGGGAGGCTCATGGCCATCGAGGTCGGAACACTGGGGAGACCAGAGAGAGGGTTTGAGCTGTGTCTGAGCCCTGAAGAGAGTTCCAGGATCCCTGAGTCTGTTCTGGGCCACCCGTCGTCGATGTGGGCCGAAGGAGCAGGCCCCTTCCTGCTCGGCCATGCTCCCAGGTCCCGCCTCCATCAAACACGGGCTAAGCTGGGCCTGGTGTTGAAAACCGTGGCTTCCTTTGCCCTTTGGGCCACTTACTGCTTTGATGTTTGACGGAGTGCCTGAAGATGGTCTCCGTTTTTGTGTGTTTGTTGTTGCTTTGTTTTGGAAGCAATAGAGAATAGGTAGAGGGAGAGAGAAGGTCTCTCTTCTCGCCCCCAGCAGTCACTGTCAGCAAGGTGATGTGTGTCCTTCCAGAGTTTAGGACAGAGTTCCGCTGCTGATGGAGCAAGTAGATTTTGGAAGCAGAGACTTGCCTTTGCAACCTCAGGCGATGCTGGTGACACACTCGGGTGCGAAGGCCGGTGTAGGGCCGGAGGTTCAGAGGGGGCATCCCATTGGCAACACCTGGGCTCTGTTCCCAGCGTAGAGCCAGGAGCCCTCCAACACCGCCTCTGACAAAATCGCATGCACCCAGCAGACGCTCACAGTGGACAGGTGCGTGAGGGTGTGCGATGTGCCTGGTTTCTTACCGATGCCCCAGTTCTAAAGAGCAGGGAAGAGAAGACTGATACTTTGAGGATGCTGGTGAACTGAGTTTCTGGTTAATTATTTCATTTTGGTAGAATGGACCCTCCCCCACCCCGTCCTTCCTTAAACTCGCTGTAAGAGGGACCAAAGCAAAAGAGAAGCAGAACCGTCGCATGCTGAAGACCTTCAGAGTCATGTCCCTCTTCTTTTATTATTATTTTTTAAATTGGAAGCAGGTGACCTGCTACATGAGGAAGAGCTCAGGTGACCACGTGGGTCTTGGGGGAGGAGTCAGGTGTTTCTACAGAGCAGCTTCCCCAAGGGCTCTTCTTCCCTTCCACGCCCTGTTCCATTGAGTCCCTCTTAGTTGCCAGCTGGGGTCTGGATGTCTATGCTGGAAGGGTCCCGAGGAAGAGGCAGGGCCCCCCACAGCTCAGACCTGGGAAGCCAGTCAACCAGGGAGCCACAGAACCCCCCGCAGGAGATGGACGTGGTGAGGAGCAGGACATGGGGGAGGGCTGGGGGGGTGGAACAGGCAGGAGCTTGCTCAGGTGTAGGATGTCCTGGAGCAGAGAGTCCAGGAGACTCCTCTTCTGGAGACCTTGGGTCTGAAACCCAAGTTCCTGGGCCAAGGTCAGTCTGTGAACAGAAGAGCTCCCTCTTTTAGGAGCAGGACTGGGTTTCCAGGGTCTCCCTTGGCTTGGAGCCAGACAACTCTCTCTGCCTTTGCAGATGCTACCCTGTTCCCTGGTGTCTCCAAGCAGCTGTGTAGGGAGCAGTGGGTGCGTCTTTCGCCCAAGGGGCAATGCTGGGAGGTGGGGGAAGGGAGGGGTGGAGCCTTTTCTTCTTACAGGGTTCATCTTGCACACAAAGTCTGGGGGAGGTCCCCGACATCCCCTGCACGGGCTGGAAGCCCACCCTGAGGGCTGCATTGGCAGTACCTGGCTGGCTTCTCCAAAAACAGAGACTCCTCAGCGGGTTGGTGTGAATTCGTCAAATCAGATTGCTCTCCTGCTAAGCTGTAGTGAGAAAGAGCGGGGAGCTTGGGAACTTGGGGAGTTGGCAAGAGGAACCTGCAGATAGTGGGGTGATTTGGGTGCTGTTTTGGGGGCTCAGACTGATCTGGTGGGAAGGTTCCAGGGACCGTGTGTGTGGAGAGACAGCCCTGATAGGATAGTGGCCGCGGCTGATGGGGCAGAAATGAACAAGGGGCAGCCCTCGCCTGATAACCAACCGCCTGGCTGGCCGCCCCAAGGTGGGCACGTGACAGTGGCCACCCTGCAGAGGGACTGGAAGGCCGGCTGGGGGCGGTCTTTGTGCTGCTGCTTCCTCTCTGGCTGGAGGAGGGATCGGATCCTGGACTGTCGGGGGCCCTACCAGGTGAAATTGGCCTCGGTGTGATTGATGGGTTTCATACCCTATCTTGAGTCTTCCCCGCGAAGGGGAATCCGGGACTTCCCCCGGTGTTACCTGTCGTCATTTATCCCATGATTGCTTTCCAGAGCCGGGACTTGAGACTCCTGATTACCCCCTCCCTATTGGTTGTGGTCAATGTAATTTAAGCTGCTAGGTAGCCTTGCAGTGTTTGCTTCGATCAGATTTTATTCATCTTGTCTTTAATTTTATCCTTTATCCCCCCTCAGTCCCATCTCGGTGAGATCCCTGCCAGCAGCAGCTGGTCCCCCTGGAGCTGGGCTTCCCTGGGGTTTTACCTTCAGGCGCCCTGACCCAGCCCCATCCAGAGGGAGGGGTGCGGCTGGAGGGATGATTTCAGGGTTAACTGGCATCGCCCCAAAGCTGAAAGGGTGGCAGGAGGGAACGTCACTTCCTAAAAACCACATTCTTCGAAAGCTCACACTTGCAAATGCTCCGTTTCTGTCTCCACGTGAGTGACTATCAGAGCTGCTCGGGCTCATTAAAACTTGCCGCACTTCATGTTTCCCAGCTCTCAGCACACAGGCGTGCTTCCCCGAGGGTCTGCCAGTGCCTGTCTCTCTCCTGCCTGGTGCCTTCAAACGGAGGAGATGCAACTTTAGCTTTTCCTTTTGACTCGTGCTGCTTTCCTCGCTCCCTTTTAGGGAAGCTGACAGGCTCCTTTTCTCTGGCGGTGTTTGGGGAGCCGGAGAGCGTGATGGGCCGGGCCTCAGAGCTTGTCTGGAGAAGAGCAGGCGCGGAGGTATTATTAGAAGGGTGTGATGGAGTTTAAAAGCCTCCCATTCCTCCCCTGAAGCAGTGTCTCCCTTGCCGCCGTTCTCCTGGTTGCTTTCTTAGTGCCTGCGAAGATGTCAGGGCTGAGTGTGGCCATAAAGGAAGCATAAACCTCTATTCCTGATACGTGTTGCTGTCTCTACATAACTTAAACCTATGCTCTACCCCGTGTACCCCGAACTCGGGTATCCAATATAAGCGCAGCCCTTGAGCGCTGGCTCGGGGAGCTGCAAATATGTTCATATCTCTTTTATTTGTCTAATGAAGCACTCAGATGTCTCAGCTATTTTTTTTAACGTAATCCTTATGCAAGGATATGTTTTATGATTTTTAGAGAGGGAGGAAGGGAGAGAGAAACATTGATGTGAAAGAGAAACATCAATTAGTTGCCTCTGGTATTCAACCCAAATGGGGATCGAACTTACAACCCAGGTATGTGCCCTGACCGGGAATCGAATCCATGGTACCTGGTATGGCACTCCAACCAGCTGAGCCACCGAGCCTGCACTCTGCTATTTTTTTTATTATTTTTTTTTGCCGAGATGTCTAGCGTCTTCCTCTTGAGCATGTCCCTTCCAGTTTTTATGTGAGAATTACAACGTTATATTCCAAAACCCGTGAACGGTGCGGTGTCAGTGTTGGAAGCAGCCAGGAGGGTGCTTGGTGGGTCAGTGGCTGAACCCTTCTTGGCCCTTCTCTGCATTTGCAGCAGAGTTGCTGCATCCTTGGGCTCCAGAGTAACAATTCTTAGTCCATACTCAGCTGTAGCCCCCGTTTCTCAAAGCATGACCTTTGCCCTGGGGCCTGGGGGCTGAGGGTTTCCAGCCAGAAGCAGCCCTCCAACTTGCACACATTGTATTCCCAGACTCTCTCTTTCCTGGCAGTGCATCGAGGTGGAACTGAATAGTGTATTTGTTTGCTGGCTAGCCCTTCCTTCCTTCCTTCCTTCCTTCCTTCCTTCCTTCCTTCCTTCCTTCCTTCCTTCTTTCCTTCCTTCCTTCCATTCTTCCCTCCATTCTTCCTTCCTTACTATTGTAAGAACACTTAACTTGAGATCTACCCTCTCTTAGCAGATTTTTAAGTGCATAATGCATTATTGTTGTCTGTAGGCAGGACGTTGTACAGCCGATCTCTAGAACTTACCTCTCATAACGGAAACTTTATCCCCATTGATCAGCAACTCCCCACTTCCCCTCCCCGCAGCCCCCAGCACCCACAATTCTCTTCTCTGTGGCCATGCATTTGACCATTTTAGATGCCTCATGCAAGTGGAATCGTGCAGCACTGCTCCTCCTGTGACTGGCCCGGTTCACGTAGCATCGTCTTCAGGCTCATCCACGTGGTTGCATAGAGCAAGATGTCCTTCTGTTTCAAGGCGACAGCACTGCTTGGTCAAGGATGTCTCCTTTCCTCTAGAAAGATTCTGATGATGCTGAACCTCAAAAGGGAAGGGACCAGAGCCCGTGTGCCCTCTGAGCCCAAGGCTTTCCTGGCCCTGCTGGTACCCGGCCTCTGTGTCCCCATAGTTTCCAGGAGAGGTGGCTTTCATCAGGTCACCAAGTACATGGTTCTACTTTTCCCAGGGACTGAGGGCCCTATCATTATATCCCAGACATCTGAGGGTCTTGTTTTCTTTAGTTTTAGCAGAACCAAGAAGGCTCCAAAAGCATTTGAAATGTTCCGAATTCTGCCCTAACCGGCTCCACATTTTCCACGCTGAGGCCGACCTTTGCACCTTAGAGG